ACTAATTAAACACAACTATCCAATTCTTATACTCTAGGTAACACTTTTTACATTGAAAACTGAAAGGTACTGACTTGCTTTAAATGATATACTCAACTTTTCTGTTGTGGAATGTTGTAGTTGTTTCATAGTGGCTGCTATGTCAGGGCTTACATAATAGGGCTAACTCAGGGCCAGTTCACCATTGCGCGGTACCGGTGTGAATGGGCCCACACACAGGCGTACACATCCATACAGGGTGCATGCCTGTGCAGAGACTTGCTCCTGGGAGGAACAGGTACACAGTGTAATTGCGTTCAACCTACTGTACATCCCTTTGGGAGGACGCAGCTGAACGTGGCTACATTCTGAACCGAACCGTGCAGGTCCGGGTGCACACACTTGAACGCCGAATCCAATTGCCATGGTGCATCATCAGGGCCCTGACTATCTCTTTCTGATTCTTTCAGCTGGCCCCCTGTTGACAAGTCATAGGACCAGTTGAGGTGGAGCGGATTCTCTGGGTGCAGGAGTATATTGATGGTGGATAAACCAGTAAACATGGTCATTAAAAATTAAAACTGGGAGGTAACGTTCTTCTTTAAAGTGGATCTAAAGCCATTTTTTTCACTTTGAAAATATTTCCTGTTGTGTCTCTGGGGAAGAAAGTAAAGGGAAATCTCCTCCACAGACACACAAATCAAAGAGAAAGCTGACAGAACCTTTAACTATTCCTTACTCCTACATCGGGGTTTTCGAAACTGTCAGTTTGTATGGAATTGCAAGCGGCACCACCCTAAAAAATCCAATAATAACATAACAATAGAATAACATAAATAATGAGACAGTACACAAAGTTGTGGAAATAAATGGCCGTGGCACTTTAATGGTTTACCAAAAAAGACAAAATTTTTTATAAAACTGAAAAAAAATCAAATAGATAAAACACATGAAACATAAATAATTGCTTAGTCATAAGACTCAAGCAAACAATAACAAATAACATTTTATAAAGATTAATAAATAACAAGTCCCCCACACATAAGCAGGTGACATAACCACATAAACATACTGCGACAAAGATGAATAACGGACATCTGTTGTGCAGGTTCTCTTATACAACTCTGTGCAGACATAAGTAAAAAAACGGTAGTAGCTCAAGCCATTACAGACAAGCAAACCACATGACAAACAGCTCAGTTATTTCTTTTTTTTTTAGAACTTTATTAATATGATGCAATCAAACCCAAAAACATTATTAAATAAATTCAAATTCATAATTTAAAATGTAACATGTTATTTTTGTTTTGTTGGCCGCTGCAACTCCATGAAAGGCGCAGTGAACTGCTGCTTTCTTTTTTCATTCTCCTGATATCTCCTCCCTTCTTTTTAAACACAAATTAATTTCTATAAACATCAAATGACCATTGAATGGAATTTAGAGTTCACTGTAATATACAAAAAGAGTGAGAGTACATTTTTGGATTTGAAAATTAAAAAATAAGAGGGGAAGATAGACACGTACGGTATGGCTTATGTACACTTGTCCATTTTGATGCAGCAAAACTCTTTCTTTTGCTGCACGATCATTCACGTTGTGTAGATATCCCATTCATTTGGGTGGATCACATCTATGTGCCTCACTTTAGTGTGAGAGGGAAACTCGATGGGCCCGTTTACAGCTACACATGTGCATTACTATGCCAGCACATTTATCAATATAAATCACGCCTGAAACCTTCCCCAAGGAAACTGAATGTAACAGCTTTGTGCTGGATGAGAGTTTCCCCCACCGAGCGTGGATTTGAGGATTCTGAAAGGGCAAATTATGAGGTAACGGAGGAATTCTAATATCACATTTCAAAACCAAACGGAGGAATTTAGGCCCCATTCACACCAGGTCGGTTCGTCGGGCCGGATTTGTTCATGCGACCGCACAGCCCCGCACGATCCAAACTGCCTCCTGCCTGAATTGCTCCCTGACCCTTTTTTGCTGCGCTGATCAACGCAGTTTCCATACTGTTTTCATTGGAACGGCGCTGTTCATCGCGGTTTTGGGCCCTAAACCGTCCTTTTAAAATTCACACGGAAACCGTGCTGATCTGCAACCGCCCTGGTGTGAACGGGGCCTAAAACAGAAGATTAAAGGACAACCGTGGTCTTATGAATGAAGCTGTGGCACACATGCGCAGTAAGAAGCTGCCATTTTTGGAGCAAAGGCTTTGTGGTTCTAAGCAGAGCACAGTAAAGATGGCTGGATCAGAGTTTATACGACTTGTGGGCAAAGTTCAGGGGCATATGAAAATCTAATGAAAGAAACCCAGGTAATTTTGAGGCAGTGAGAGGGGAATGAAGTTTTATATTTTGGTAGAGAGCAGAGTCTGCCCAGTGATTCTGGAAAGATCCCACCCTCCGTGTCCTGGGATTGGTACTTGTGGAGAGAGAGCACCAGCAAGTGTCCCCTCAGCCAATCCCAGTGGAGCAGCGGGGAGGCAGGATCACCTGAGGTAACAGCTCTGAGGTCCTACAATTAAGCGCTGTGGGTGAAACATGTACGGTAAGTAAAGAGTTTCTCTCGTTCTGGGGAGCTTTGTAATGTTTATGCTGGCCCATGGATTGTAATAAAATTTGGATTTATTTGGAGGAAGCATTGAGTGCAGCTCAAATTCATACAAATTCATGGGAGGAAGTTTTTAGCCAGCACATGGAGGTTCCTCTGAATATGGACCTGACTGCTGAATCTGAGCAGTGAGTGGTCAGGATTATTGTGAGGTGAGAGGAGTCACCTTAGATCTGTTCCTTTTTTAGGCCCCGTTCACACTGAGCGGTTCGCAAATCGCGCGATTTGCATTTTGCGCGATATCGCGCAAATGCTTGCATTGAGCAAGCTTGAATCACGGCAAAATCCGCTCCAAAAAGGGTCCTGCTGTAGCGACACATGACCCGCGACAGCAGGACCCTTTGCCCCATTGCCAAGCATTGGAGCGCGGTAAATAGCCGCGATATCGCGGGAATTACCGCGCAATAAATCGCTCAATGTGAACGGGGCATAAAGCTGCTTTAGGGCCTGTTCACCTGACATCTGTTTTCTGTGCTGACCTGATCCGTACACTACTGTACTAAAAATGCATCCCAATGTATCCCTATGTGTTTTATGGGCTACAGTTCTCACGTGCGCAGTCCGTTACAACAGAAAAATACTGCATGTCACATTTTGTATGGTCAGGAAACGGCCTGGAATCGCAAAACGCGTCAAAAACGCACAGCAGCTAACATACTGACAGCCCCACTCCAGCAAAAAAAAATATATATATTTTTTTTTAAAACTGGAACGCATCAAAAACGCGGCAAAACATAGCACCGCGTCTGCTAATCCGCACCTGAAACTCATGTGAACACGTCCTTAATCATCAATATGTGAAGCCACTTCATTGCGAGTGACACCCCCGGACTCGGTGGTGCCTGGGGGAGTGCCATGGACCCTGCTAGATGCTGCTCCTCCAGGAATTGGTGTGAAACAATTATTATCCACCATGCCACAGTTAGTCCTGCTGAGCCCAAAATATCTCCTTTAAGAAAGGCCCTAGAACAGGGATGGCTAACGTTTTTGAACGCAAGTGTCCACACTGCAACGCAAAATCATTTTATTTATCTCAAAGTGCCAACACTAAAAATAAGTTTGGTATTGTGTTTTAGTTTGGGCACTGGGGTTTAAAAAACGTTCAGCATCACTGACTTAGGCAAAATAGCGATACACACATATTCAAACATTTATATACTCACGGATACAAACACATATAATCACCCACACATAATCATACATTCATAAACGCACACATCACACACCCATAAAACACACCACACTCATAAAAACACACCACAAACTCATAACACATCACACACACATATGAAACACACACATCATAACACACCCACACAGTGTGGGAACCTACAATGTAATGTTTTGGGGGACGAGCACACCAAATATTCATTGGAAAATGGTATTTATTAGTCAAAGATATTATCCTTCACCATTTTGTTTAGCACTGCACAGCCGTAGCGTTCAGTGAAGTTGCTTCAGCGAACTCAAGTGCTGCAGAACTTAATGCTTGGCTAAAGAACTGACCATGCCTCAGGACACTGATCTGATAATGAGACTTGAAACAAAGGACACTGATCTGAAAATGAGGCTTGGAAGTCAGGACACTGATCTGAGAATGAGGCTTGGATGTCAGGACACTGATCTCATCTGAGAATAAGGCTTGGCATGCAGGACACAGATCTGAGAATGAGGCTTGGCATGCAGGACACAGATCTGAGAATGAGGCTTGGAATGCAGGACACTATTCTGAGAGTGAGGCTTAGAACCCCTTGCTCTGCTCTGTAAATGAGGATTGGAACTCAGGGCTCTGATGTGAGAGTGAGGCTTGGAACTCAGGGCTCTGATGTGAAAGTGAGGATTGGAACTCAGGGCTTTGATGTGAGAGTGAGGCTTGGAACTCAGGGCTTGATGTGAGAGTGAGGCTTGGAACTCAGGGCTTGATGTGAGAGGGAGGCTTGGAACTCAGGGGCCTGATGTGAGAGTGAATGTGAGAGTGAGGCTTGAAACTCAGGACTTGATGTGAGAGTGAGGCTTGGAACGCAGGACATTGCAAGAATAAGGAAGATGAGATAGACGCTAGGAGGAAGAAGAGAAAGGTGGAAGAGGTGGACTAGAGGTGATATGATATAATGTTAAGACTGATCATTTGTCGCAGGGCTATCTGAGTGCCCACACTAGACTGAGATTATAGTTTGAAGTGGAGTGATTGAGACTGACATGTGCAACTGTGAAATGTATTCTTCAGTGTACTGCACATATTAAAGATTGTTGCATCTTTTATTTGTATTGTTTTACAGGAAGTGAGATCCTCCTGTCATGTGATGAGGTCACGTGATTTTTTAATGATAACATTTTATATCACTGCTGTCTGTGTATTTTTAACATGAAGAAAAGAAGAAAGATTCTTTCAAAAATGAACATGGACTCCCCTGATGGAAAAGAGAAGGCGTCTGTCACAGACTTTCCAGCTCCCCTGTGTGACTCCAGTCCCCCATCTGTGGAAACCCATAGTGCGTTGAGAGCTCCAGATCAGAGAAAAGTCCTGAGTTCACTGAATTATAACAGGAACCTGTTAAAATATTTGAACGATGATCGCCAGCGTCAAGCCTCTTTCTGCGATCTTGTTATTGTGGTGGAAGGGAAAGAGTTCCAAGTGCACAAAGTGGTGGTGGCTGTGGGCAGCAGTTACTTCCATGCCCTTCTAACTAAGGACCCAAACATGGACGTGGTGACTTTAGAACATGTGACTAGCTCCATCTTCCAACACTTGCTCAATTTTTTGTACACATCAGAGTTTTTGATGCTGGAGACTGAAATAGACCTGGTCTTGGAGGCCGCAAAGTTTTTGGACATAATCGATGCGGTTAAGTTGCTGGCTGCTGAAAGTGAAGTTTCACCTCCTGCTGACAATCAGCCGTCTCCAAAAGCAACTGATGAGTCCGTGAGTAAACTTGAACACTGTCACAAATGCCCCTTGTGCGAACGGAACTTTTGCTACAAAAAAACACTGGAAAACCATATGGACAAAGCCCACAAGTTGGATCAATCAGATGTTCCCAAGGATTCTGATTCGTCCCCCAGGAAGTCAACACGTAAAAGGAAAAGTCCCGAAAAATATGACGATGCGGAAGATGTGGGGAGTGAGAGTGCAGGTTCAAGCAGTGATTTGGGCAAAAGCAGTCAGGATAGCACAGACTCAGAAGATTCTGACAGTGAGATGCAGGAAGAAGGCAATGCAGTGGAGGACAATGAGCAGTTTGTGGAAGAGGAGTATGGGGAGGAGGTATCAGGAGGTGATGAGGGACAAAGCGTTGGGGAGCGAGAAGAATCTGAACAAAAGAATGAAAACTCTGTTACTTTTGGAAATTTCCCTGAAGGTCTTGCACCAATTGTGTTACAGATTAACAACAAAAGGACTTTAAAATGCCCAAAGTGTGAAAAGGTCTTCGATCGATTTGGTAAGTATGTTGATATGACTTCTTTGCAAACACGTCTGCACCCCCTCCCAATCTGTTTTGTTGAGATTTTTTACCATCATTTTACCCAGAGCCCTGTGTAGGCTCCATGTCAGGCTGTATCAGAGCTTACATGTCAATGTATCAGAGTGTACAGTGCTAATAGATCCTTCCCCTGGTGACTCAGGGGCTGAGCACTGCATCATGAGGGAAGGGACAAAAGGGTCACATACTCCCCTACGTCTGACAGTACTGACAGATAGGGATGTGGGCAGGCTTGGTGTGCCCGAGTCCGTTCAAAACTGTCAGTGACACGTCTCCTTTCCAGCCCAATCGGCTGTGGAGGGGGCATTCCTAGCTACGTGTAACAGAAGGGCAGGGAAAGACCCAGCCACAGCTGAATGGGTTGAAAGAGGAAGGTGTTACTTAAAGTTTTGCACAAGCTTGGGCGAAAACTTTCACCACGCACGCACACATCCTCACTGACAGGCTGTCGCTGCCACAGTGCAACAACGTATCTTCCATACTTGTAGGCCATTTGCAATGCCATCAAAGCCTGACCGAAAAACTCCGGATATTTTGCATAGCTCCATCCTGTCCTGTGGCTGGGGCAAGCCAGCCATTGGGCATTCGCCCCAAGCAAGAGTGAGCACCATCCTTGTTCGTAGCTCCACGCATGCACTGTGCTCTCTCTCTCTATTGTTGAGGCACTAAGTTCAGCCATGGTGACTGGTAAGAGAGCACACTGTGCATGTGCAGGGCTGTGGGCAAGGTTGAGCACCCAGTGGCAAGTTTGTCCTGCCCACAGGAAAGGATGGAGCTGAGCAGAATTTTGGGAGTTTTTTCAGGCAGGCTTTGGGGTTGGTGCAAATGGCATACAGGTGTGGAAGATACATACATCATGTTCACAACATAGCATTTGAATGGTACCTAAATGCACCTCCTAGTGCCCATGCTTTGTAGCACAAGACATGGTATGGCAAAATGGTGCATTATATTTTATATTGCTGTGAAGAAAGGTAATGCATGTTCTACTTTCTTTTATTACAACCCATGATATTGCTGTATTGTGCTGTAACACACGACTGTGTTGGGGTGCCATTCAAATGAATGGTAAGGCAGTGTACCTAGTGCATGGTACTGCACACTGGGTGTGTTGTGCAATAGCATGCACTAAATACATTGGAGGGAATTTATCATAACTGGAGCAGCTATGCATGGCAACCAATCAGCTTCTCTCTTTCATTTTCAAATCTTAACTGAACAGACTGAAGAGAGAAGCTGATTGGTTGCCTTGCATAGCTGCTCCAGATTTTGTCTGCTCCAGTTTTGATAAATTTCCCCAATTGCATCTTTGCGTTTATCACAATGGTGTCAGCATCCCCCAAAGACTTTGTTGATGTTTGGTTGCAGGGTGGGGAATACCTGGGCCTACAGCTGATTGGGCTGATGGCCCCATGCCCTTTCTGTTCAGAGAGGCAACTCTGCTGTGCTAGAGAGTACATTTAAATCAATAAGTGGAATGACCAATTTTAAAAGTTGATTTCTGATTCTTACCGATGGCAATTTCTTAAATGAGAATAGTTATATGCTGGTAAAAGCTGTGTTGAGTATACTGTATATACACCTATCACTGAAAACTTGCAACCCATTCGAGGAGTCTGTGTAAATATTAGAACTGCCATTTATTTCCAGGTAAATATGAGAGCCATACTCGAGTGCACACAGGAGAAAAGCCTTTTCAATGTGACATCTGCAATTTGAGGTACTCCACCAAATCCAACTTAACAGTTCACCGAAAGAGGCACAACAATGAGACAGAAATTCCCAGAAAGGATCACAAGTGTCCATTCTGCAGCAAGCTCCATGCAAGCAGGAAGACCCTTGTGAAACATGTCAAGAGGTAAACCATTTGTACTGTAAACTTACTGCATGTGGGCACTTTGTTTTCTGAAATGAGCATTGTTTGTACAACAAGGGCTTGAACAATGGAAATCTCGTCTTAAGACCCCGTGTCTATAGTAATGCAAGGGGGTTTACAACTAACGTAGTTGGTTGGTTGAAGAATACTTGCCCCACTTTTGGTTCCTTTTTGTTAACTGCTAAAGTGCACTGATAGGTCATTATCCAGTTACCTTGGAACTACAAGCCCGGTTTGCCATGACAGCCATGAAATGGATGACATCAGCCAAGGAGATGGCATGGCAAACAGAGATCTTCTAGATCTTTAGTTATTTGCCTTTGAGGGGTAAGCAGGGCCGGATTTCCCACAAGGCCAACCGAGGCCCGGCCTCGGGGCAGCAGGGAGTAGAGGGGCAGCAGGGGTGTGGAATTCCAATCTCCTGATGCCCGGGACATGCAGTTCCGGGCGGGTAGTTGTGGGCAAGGAGAGTTAAATGTACAGCGGGAAAGCCGCCGCTTGTTTTGTACAAGTGATCTTGGCGACATTGTATGCAGTTTAATGAACGGTACTTTTTACGCTGATCACATACAAATTACAGTCTACAATATCCTTCACCCAGAGCTGTGTAGTACGAGGGTCTGCCCACCTGGATATGAATAGAATGGATTGCTTAGTTGCTGGTTATTCTATAGGTGAATAGACAGAAATTGCAGATTGTTTTCTGTGTCCCTTTTTCAGACTAAAATAAGTTTAATGCTAATGAGTGGTGTCATTCACGTGCTTGTCAACTTCAGCTTACAAGTCCTTAGATGTGGTGGCTGTGTTCTTGTGATCCTGCCAAAAACACACTTCCTGCTCTAGGGTGACATCATATGCTTATCATACTGTATCTATGGAGGAGCAGCCTTGTCACCCTAAGACAGGAAGCATATTAGGACTTCTCAACGCCTCTCATCGTTGTTCTAACATAAGAAGGGGAGTTGTATAGTCCACCGGGAGCACTCACACAGGGTTGATAACAATGTTTGAAATTATAGTGCAGCATTGTCAGCTCAATACTAGAAATTAGTAGCTCACTGTTCCTAACAGGATGTACAAACAGATATAACAAACTGCTTTTGAATGGGGTATTCAGGGATAAAGTTCATTGTTAGGATTTACGTACACTTTTTCTCTTACATAGGTACCTTAATAAATTTGCCCTCTGCTGTCAGCATGATGTAATAGTACAGGAATGACAGTATAACAGCATTATATAGGGTCTAGTTAAAAAAATTATCATATATATTCCCAATATTCATCCAGCAAAACGTCATGTATATTCATTCTGTGCAAGATAACCAGCTGTTGTGAGACTGCCTAGTGGATTTTCTCTTCTGGTCGAATGTTCTTTAATAAGTTTTTTCATAGAATGGAATAAACAGAGTGAATGGGAATATTACCACATTGTGGCCACTAGATGGCGCTGATGATCATAGGAAATAAATATCACTGGAAGGAATGAACAGATAAATATAGCCGTTGCTGCTAAGGGGATAGCAATGGTTACATTCATATGATCATTTTAAAAGCAACCAAAAAGCTCTCACTTTACACCAGCGGTTCTGGATTTGCATCTGGCTATTGGGGTGTAAAGGACTGATTTGCATGGTTCTGCCTACTTTCCTGAAATAAGGAATAATTCTCTAACTTTTGGATATGTGATGGAATGAGCCATGTTAATACTTTCTGGTTTATAAAAGCTTTACTCTGCTATGGAGGAAACACTGAACCCTTGGACAGATTGGTTGTGTTCTGTATTTGCATTTACTATCCTTAGACATTTGTGCATACAGTATAATGTGCATCCAGCTTTGCATGGGGATTACCGTCTGTTCTACAGCCAGTGTTTGCAGAGTACAATTAATTTTCCAACATTTGGAAAATATGGACTTCATATGTAGAGCAACAGATTGTATAGGCCCCGTGTATGGCCCCAATCTTTATATATGATGACAGATTGTTGTAACAAAACAGTCATTCTGAAGTAATGACTGCTGCAGCAATCTGTCCCCATATTCTGGTGCAGTATTATTTTAGATGTTACTTGTTGCTGTTATTAAAAATGGTGTGAAAGGTTTGAGACATAACCGCACAGGCAGGAGAGGTCCTAACCGTCTTGATTGTTTGTATGTTTATTTTCCCATGTATGCAATTGTTTGTTAAATAACAGAGACTAATATATTTACTATTGTTTTTTTCAGGTTCCATGCAGAAAAAGCACAAGAATTTCTTGCAATCAAGAGATTAAAGAGTGAGGGTTGGAAGTGTGATGTAGGTCTTTTTAAAGAATTTTGTTTTTATTTGTTTGAGGGAGTATTTCTTCCTTTCTTTATTACAGGCATTTTTTTTTAAAGCGGCAACAGTTTATACAGTGCTTTACATACCATTCATTCACATCACCCCTTGCCCTGAAAGCGATTACAATCTTAGGCCTCATTTACACATGCCATTTAGGGCTGGCAGCGGATACTTGCGGCTGGAATCACAGGGGGTTCCAGACACCTGCGGCTGCTTCCAGGGCCGGCCATATTTCCCCTGGATGTGTGGAGATGCGTGAAGAGCGGCAAACATCTGCAGCTTTACTCAGCATGTCATCACTTTGTACAGTCTGAGTGTCCACAGCTGTCCAGAACCACCTGTAATTCCAGCAGTGAGATTCCACTGATTCTCCCCGCCGGCCCTAAAAGCAGAAATGAGGCCTAAGGTCCCAATCCCACATACACACACATACTGGGGCCATTTTAAACAGAAGCCATTTAACCTACCTGCAAGTGTTTGAAGTGTGGGAGGAAGCCCACACACATAAGCACAGGAAGAACATGCAAACCTCATGCAGATAGTGTCCTGGCCAGGATTCTAACTGAGGACTCCAGCGCTGCAAGGCAAAAGTGCTAACCACTAAGTCGCGAAGACAGGGTTAAATACTAAGGTTAAATACTAAGGTTCTAACACACAGCAACTAAAATCCAAGACCCTAAAGCGTGATCCTTATGAAGACGAGCTTCCTTTTTATATTTATTTTCTGTCTGTGAAATAGTAAACAAATAAGTGTCAAAAAAGCCAGACTGCCTATCAGAAGCAAGTAAAGAGCATGTATAAGTTTCTGTAATAAATCTTTCAAATCCAATTTTGCCTTTGATTATGCTGATTTACTTTAAAGGAGAACTATGGGGTCAGTGTTTTCCCCATAGTTCTCCTTAGGGTAACGGGAGGACACAAACTAGCGTCCTCCCGTTACCCTAAGCTCAGTATACCGCGAGCTACGGCTCGCGGTATACTGAGACGCCGCAGCCGGAGCGGACCCCGACATCGATGTCGAGATCTGCCCAGCTGCGTGAGTGACAGCTGGCTCTGCCTATCTAGAGGCAGAGCCAGCTGTACCCGCCCCTCCCCCGTCCGTTCCGCCAGTCAGCGCTGGCAGATCGGAGAGGGGAATCCAGCCCCTCCCCTGTCACGGCAGAGAGCCGTGACAGAATCGAGAGGTGAGCGAACGCCGGTATGTGTTCCCTCACCTCCCGTTCTACTGAGCCGACCTGTGACAGTCTCATTGTCACAGGTCGGCTAGAACTATGAGGTGAGTGGAAATCACTCATCTCATAGTTCTCCTTTAATGAATATCTAAACCCAAGAATATAAATGTGATATGTTGTAGCTTACCACTCCTTGTCCTTTATCTTTGGAGGAGCAGAATTGTCACTCTAGACAGCTCTTCTGATTTGGACTACAATCACTTCCCCCACTCCTTATATCCACTATGTGTGTGTGTGGGGTGTTCTCTAGTTCACAGAACATGGTTGAGAAGGCTACTAACATTATTTGAGATTTCAGTTCAGTCCAAAGGAAGTTACAAGCACACTGAATTTCTGTCCGGATCAACCGAGAAATTTTCTGTATTTAGCCTTAAAAAAAAAAATTCAATGTACTACAATTTTGTTCTCGGGTTTAGATATAATGTAATCCTCTATATACAGGTTAACCACAGACAGGTAGTACCATCAGGACTCTTCGTAAATATATTTCCTAGGTTCATTCATGTATTGTTATAGGTGATTGATTGCTTTTAGTGATCATCACATTACATTGTGAATGTACATAACCTGTATAAATATATCTTTCATTTCTTAGATCTGTAATAAATCTTTCACAAGGCGGCCCCACTTAGAGGAACACATGATCCTTCATTCACAAGACAAGCCATTTAAGTGCACCTATTGCGATGAACACTTCAAATCTCGCTTCAAAAGACTGAGGCATCAGGAAAAATATCATTTGGGTATGGATTTTCTGTTTCATTTTAAGTTTTAATACTGTTGATGTTACATCAGATGGTAAAAGGGGTTTTCACCCTTTAAGCAAAATGTGTGAATACAGCCTGTTGGGTCAACAATGTTAACATTGCACCTGCACATATGCTGTTGATTGAATTAATAATATTGTGTATAACATTTTGTCCGCTTGCGTTTCCTCTTACTCTATGACTAAGGCTGGCCATACATCAGTAGAATTTTGTTAAAAAGAATTCACTCGTTTCATTCAATTTCCTAATAATCTATGGCAGGGGCGTAACTAGAAATCACAGGGCCCCATATCAAAATTTTGTATGGGGCCATGTGATTTCTAGTTACACCCCTTGCAGAGCCCACCTGAAATCCCACACAGCCCACCTGAGAGTGACTCTGCAGAGCCCACCATAGACTATGGTGGGCTCTGCAGGGTCTCAGGTGGGCTGGTCACACCCCTGCACACCTCTTACCTGTCACCCCTGATCCGCTGTCAAACTTCTCCGCCTCCTCCTCTGTCGCCGGCGGGCCCCGGCCTTCTCCATCGCAAACTGTTGGCTGTCACTGACTCAGCAGCTGCTGTGAGGAGGAACGCGCCGCTGCATAGATCACTGACAGGTTGTCCGTGATCTGGACAGCGGCGCGTTCCTCCTCACAGCTGCCAGTGACAGCCAGCAGCCTGCGATGCCATATTGACCCAGGCAGCTCGCACGGCATCAGGAGGACACCTATGTTCCTCGCCCTGGCCGAGCCCCCCTGGGCGATAGTTTCGCCACTGGTTAATGGTGTCAAATGGACGCACATTTTTGACTGTAATGACAAAAAAAAAATGGATGGAGCAGGATGAAAATTTATTCTGAAACAATTGAAGTTCTAACAGTGAATGTAATTTTCCTTTGAGAAACTCTATTCATTTCAAAATCAAATGTTAAAATCAAAAGAAATTTTGAATGACGTTCGTCAAGTCTCTGATGAGATTTTCTGTATGAATGTTTGTACTAAAATCTACCAGTGTATGGGTAGCTTAAGGAAGGGAGGCACCTCAGTGCAATTTGTATTGACTCATAGGTGATAAAGGTTTGGGAGCCATTGACCTAGTGTGAGATGAGCTGAGACAAACTACCGGTAGTACCCGGTATTGGGTGGAGCTACTATTGCAAAGACCTGAATCGAGCCTTATTCTTGCCCTGTTGGGAACTGTCAGTGCTTGCACCCCAATATCATGGCATACAGCTCCAAGACTGCTACCTCTCAGAAGTGCTTAGTTCTTTCCAGAATCATTGATTCAGCTTCAAAAACCCATTGTTCTCAGTGGTTTGCCAAGGCAGTGCCATAAATACTTAGAGCTTAAGAGAGCTTTAAACGGTTAATTGGCAGGGGTGCCAGTGGTTCAGTCCTCTTCAGTCAGAATTCACTTATACATTGCACCAGTGTTTCATCAATCCTTCTGTCTAATGTTCTGTCTAATGTTAGTAAACCCTTAAAAGTTACACTGGTCATGCGGCATTAACCTAGTAAAAGCCTGAGGGCACATTTGAAGGAAAACTGCAGTTTTTCTTTAAGTGTGCATTTCCCTCCCTTTTAGATGATAAGCCCTCTTGGGCAGGGTCCTCCTTACCATCTTGTCTTGAATTGTATTGTGATTGTAATGTCTTCCTTACATTGTAAAGCGCTGTGCAAACTGTTGGCGCTATATAAATCCTGTATAATAATAATAATTTTGTTAAAATTAACACAACTATATAAATGACACACAAGCCCTTTTCTTTTTAACCGTATTAAAAATAACTTGATCTATATTGCGATTTCCTCTTACATACACTTCCCCCC